AGGAGTTCCAACCTCTTTTCTCTAAGGTCAGCCCTCTCAGCGAAAGCACAAGGAGTCGCCATCTGCCGACAGCAATGATGATGCCCCTAGCTCACCTAGTATAACAAGATGAGTACCTATTCCCTGCAATAGAAAGCTCCACTAACGCATACCATTTTAAGGCCCTGACGCCTTTGATTCCACCCTTGTCATCCTATCCCTCTTGTAAGTCTCCTAAACCATCGTATTGTGCCTGGTTCTTACCTAAATTCAATAGTATAATCCTTTTCTCTTTTCCATTTCACGACCGTATGATTGCCTTCCCTATGTGGCACTTCATGGTGTGTAATTGGATGTAGGTGATCCGGGCGTGTATTGTAGTATTCATAGCATTCAAATAGCATTGATTTTGGCAATCAAAAGTGACAAACCGGGTCAATTTGTCAATCTAAGCATGAAAAAGACACCTTTTTAGCAATGAATAGCATATCATTAACCAAAAAATTGCCAGAATGCGATTGACAATCATTCAAATTTAGTAACGGTGAGCTGACTTTCCCCCTCATTTTGTTACTCGAAAGCCGGTGTTTGTTAATCAAAAGGTCTCATTTGATTGCCAAAATCAGTAGCGCGAGCTCGCATGACAAAAGCCGCAAATTTTGTCATGGGCTATTTTCCCAGTGTCCAGTTATCCTCCCCAAATTTATTTGCTAATCCATTTTTAGTAGTATCAGTAATTTACTTAAATGGGGTGCTAATCAACCACTAACCAGCGACTCGCAATTTCTTAGTACTTAAATTTATCCTCTATTTATTTCTGAGAAGTACCTTTTCTGCATAGTCTATAACCAAAGGTGCCTCAGTACTAATTCATTGATTTTAAGTGCACAAAATTTGATCCCGCGCGTAGTGAAAGCTTGTTGACTTATTTCTGCCCTAGTCTTTATTTCATGGTATTCCAAAGGCCAGTAACATCGCAACTGCAGCAAAGACGTTGGGATCTCTGGGAAAGCTTCAAGTTCGAATCCACAAAGATAAATCGGGTTATCATGATGACCATGCGCGCTTATCTCATATTGACCTCAGCGCTAAGTATACTGTATTCCGATGATAAACAGGCAAAATTTGTAGACTGACCATGCTTCTTACTTCCATCGAGTTGGTTCAGATTTTCCGTGACGAACGTCGATTCTCACTGAGAAACGAATAGGATTGATTAAAAATTGGCAGGATTCTACATGACCACAGGCTAACCTATATACAACCGCAACTATTCGATAACCGGTTTACATTCAGTATGCATATTTCACATCAGGCGAGTTTCCCCGTCGCCAAAACACCGTTCTAGACTCATGAGAGCAACGGCTCACTCGACTTGGACGGCGGCTAGTCTAGACCAAAGAAAGATCTACTGCTTATTCCATGCTGGCCCTTGTTGTGGTAGTCGGTTTGCCCTTCTATACAACAGCCGCACAAGAAGTGCAATGAGTACGGCCCCTACAAGGGAACCAATGACGATACCAGCAATGGCCCCCTTGCTAAGCTTTCGTTTGGAGTTGGTACAATCGGGGTCAAATGCAACAGGATAGATAGGAAGCTCGCCTTGATTGCTCTTTGCTAGACGAAAAACTGCTCCAGTGCTACGGTATTGTACCATTAGGTATACCCTGCTCAAGAATGCTTTCCCTAGAACGGCAGTATCCAAGAGTGCGACTTGGCGAAAGATATTGAGCTCGGTTGTATTGGACATTGTGACCCTTTCACCAGTTGGCGAGATACCGCGTAGAGGATGAGCGAGTTCTTCGGTTGGGATTTCGACTACAAAGTCGTAGTCAAGCGTAATCTTGAGAGAGCCGTTGAAGGCGGGAGAAGATGGATATGTGAGACCAGGTTCTACGATGTAGAACTGTGACGGATCAGGAAGGGAGCCATTGACAAAGTTGGTCGCCTCTGCAAAAGCATTCAATGTTGTTTGTGGGAAGCGGAAAAGAGTATCATCTGTGATTCAAAATCATGAGTCCAATCGAATCTCAGTAGTAACACACGGAAGCACGTACAAGGTTCAATGCAGGCTTCCATTTGTTGTCCTCTGGAGATCAGGACGGTATCCTCGAGGCCAGGTCTTTGTAAAACGAGCTCGGTAATAGTCACTTGGAGAGAGCATATACGCCCACTCGTTTGACTATGAGTAACGTTGTAATCCTTTACACTTGAACCAACTTTTTGTCTATCATAGCCACCGAGGATAAGATGTCCGTCGCGAGGTGGTGACTGTGACTGACTACCAGCATCAAGCCCAAATCCAGCCACAATCCCTTTCTCGTCGGAGAGTTGCTGGAGGAGCGGAGAGCTTCGGCCAAGGCCGAGGTGACCAGTATTATGGTTTTGACCACCTTCGATGGTTTTAAACGGAAATTGAGGTAAGGAAATTTCGGAAGGCAACTGAAGAGGTATGGTTCCTTTCTCCGTGACGCTATTTCCTGGGTCTATCGCCGCCCAGTTGACGTCTGGAGGTAAGTCGCTCGCTGAGGAGATGGCAGTAAGACTCGATCCGGACGAGTCAAAAAGACCACCGCGACGGGTAGCGCAGGTCGCGAATTGGGTCGTATTATCGGTGGAGCAGGCCTTGACCGTCGGAATGAAGGTATTGTTCGTAAACGTGGAGGTCATAAGGCACATTTCCTGTGGGAGTGAACCTGGAGCGGTCGAACCTAGAGTGACCTGAAGACCCCAACTCAGGACGTCGGGAACTTGCCCATGACCTTGAAGGGTGCAATTGGTCAAGGTGAAGGCGATTGGTTTGACGTCAGGAGGTAGAGAAGAGCATTCTCTACCTGATGAGAAGGAAATGGTAAAGGCAGAGAGGATGATAGCAATGAGCTTTAACCAGTTGTAGGGAGGCATGACTCCAGTTGGGGCAAAGGCGCCAGCGAGGAGGAAGAGGGGCGACGCGGAATCGACGGATATTTATTCATTTTTACTCTCCTTGGGACTCCA